GCCATCGTAAGGAATTAAATTATCTAAATGCCTAATCTGTTTACAGGTGCAAATGCGGCAGTTTCCTAACAGACTCCTGGGTTAGGTTTCGTTGGTTGGTTGGTGAGTGGAGATTTGTGGTAGAGAGGAGTAAAATGTTTTATGACCGGTTGGCGTACTCTGCGTCATGAATGTTTGGTGGCATCCTCTGCGAAACTCTCCCGCGCGTAGGTGGCAGAAGGTTTAGTTGGTTAGGTTGCCGCAACTGTAACCCTCAGCATCCTGTGTGTAGCAACCCAGTAGCCAAGAAAATACTCCAAGAAGCCCGTTTGTCATCCATCCAAAGGTCCATTCTGACCACCTGCTCACGATACAGTTAAGGTTGCGAGCCTTTTTTACTTTCCACACAGATGCTGAGGCTACTGATCGATGCATCCTATCCCTGAATTCGTTAAACCATGGTTCATTAGTGTTGCCAGTAATCGTAGTACTGTTACTTATTCGCCCAAACGAAGTTAACGTTCTTGCTGAGTTTTGCAGCCTTGATGCCAGATCAGTATTGACTATATGAATAACTAAAATGTGCTGAGCCATTGGTAGAGACAAAAATTTCTCTTAAAACCAAGACGAACTCAGTCATGCTTAATATTAGGGGAATATTTTAGGGTTCTTTAATTAGGAAGGCGCCCCATTTATGTGTCTACACAAATAATTGATTGACTGACTGGGCGTTTTATCTACCATTCGAGCGATTGGGCGGTTTTCGCGACCGAACCCACACGGACGGTTTAACGGGATCAGAAGTCTCCATGTTAAGATAACCACTTCAGGAGTTCCCTTGCATATGAGCGGTTGGATATGGAAATAGGAATCTTCCTCCCTCCTCCCTGATACAGGTGATCTTGCGCTATATTCCAGGCAGGTTACAGTTAGAACACGAGGATATTTACCCTTACTGGCACCTGTATTCTGGGGTTCTCATTCCCGTGTCTTATCATACGGACAACCTGGGAAAGTTAGTAAGTCAAGCGAATTTCCAGATCGTTCGGGTATTGACACTGTTAAGCCTACAGAAAGGATAAAACTAGAACGGTTTTGTGCAAGTACTTAGTGCAACGTCTCCGACTAAACGTCACCTATATAAAATTTACTACTAAACACGGAGCACACTCTTCTAATTCTGTCTTATTCGATCCCACAGGCTTGCTGATACCGCCGCAGGATACCCTGTACTTGGAGTCAGATACGGCTTCTAGTCTTGAACGCGTTAGCACTGTTCGTCGATCACCGCTGCCTCTGTCTGGAGCAGCTCAGCCAAAGACTACACTGGTCTCAGGCGAGCCGGATCGTGCTCGCGATGCCGTCCGCAGTGATCAGATGGAAAAGACTGATGCGGCTGCTGCTCGCTCCTCCATTTCTCCATCTCCTTCCCTCTCCGGCTCCTCTGCCTCCTACCGCCGATCCCAGAGCTTGACTCAGTCACTTTTTTCTCAGGGTGCAATCCTCTCCAACGCCTCCAGCATTTCACGTCATTCCTCCTCCTCGT